AGGGTTGGGAGCAAGATGGTTCTTCGTCGTCCAGGAGGTGAGGTGGATCTGAATTGTACACCTGTTGAGGTTCTTGATGCTGCCAGGGACTGGTGGAAGGCTGAGGTGGAGGAGGCGGAGAGGTTTTTGGCGAAGCGGGAGGAGCTGAAGGGCCGTGGGGAGTGGGATGGCAATCCGTATGGAAGGCTGAGTTTGAGGGAGGTTGTGCGGCGGCTGGATGAGTATGAGAGGGAGGTGGGTGTGAAAGAGGTTGATCGGGAGGTTTTGGCGGGATTGCTTAGGAGGTGCAAGTGATTTCTTGGGATCTGTAGACATGATGAAGTAGATCATGGCAGGTTGCTCAGTTATGATACATATTGATGACTGATGAGTCATGTTGATGGTTGACGGGTCATCTTAACAGTTGATGAACCATGAAGGACCAAAGGGTATACATAGAGGTAGAACTTGCTATCTTGCTTGATGAGCATATCTCGGGACGAATTTCGACACTTTTGAGATCGTTCAGGCCATTGATCGCATTGTGTATCATGTTTGTTGTCTCATCATTCCCTCAGCTCGTTCATCCAAGTTAGATATTCATGGTATTTGTCTTCATTTCATTCACATTCTTTATCGCATTCATCCCATCCAGGTCGTTTATTAAATGCCATATGTTTTGTCTGCCTCATACTTCCCATCTTTTCACATTATGTATTCCGTTCATGCTATTCATCTTGCCCAGATGACTGATATTTATTCATCCAGTTTCTTCAACACATACCACCACCACCATCACCCAACAATCACCCCTTCCCCTCCTTGCCCATCCCTCGGCCCAATCTCCAGCTCCCCCAACTTGTCCACAACCCCCACCCCCTTATCATGATTTCATTTCTTCATTTTCCTTTCCTTCATCACCACCCCGAATCTTATCCACCACCCCCTTTTCCTCTCCCTCCCCCTTTCCTTTTTCCCGTTCACCCTCCCCTTAATCTCCCTCCCCTTCTCCCTCACCTTCAAATACCCCTCCAACCCAACAAGCACAGCATAACTCTTGCTAATACTCACCCGGCTCATATCCACCCCTTCCCTTTTCAGTCGTTCTACACACTGTCTAAAGTTACTCGCTGGCGGCCGATAATGCCCGCTCAACGGACTGAGGCTATGTAACTTGCCGTTCTTGATCTTGATCAGCCCCGCGGCGGAGATCCGCGACCCTTGGAGAAACGAGCTGTGTTGAAACGCGCCAGAGTTTTTGATTCCTACGTATAAACGAAAGGAGGTGTCGGCTACGAAGATCCAGGTGTTGGGGGTTACGGTGTGGCGGAGGAGTTTGTTGAGGAGGGTGGTGGGGGACATTTTGAGGGGGTTGCGGGTGGTTTTGGTGGGTTTGGTTTTGGGGGTGGGAGGGGAAATAGGGGGGGGGATGGGGAGGAGGAACGGGAGGATTCGCTGGAGGAGTTACCCAAAAAATTGGTGTTGGATTCTGACACGGGGGGTGTATAAGCTGGGGTTGGGTCGTCGCTTGGGACGATGCCGTTGATGCTGTCTTTCCATTTCTCGGTTGTGGTGTCGATTGGGATGCCGTTTTTGGCCCAGCACAGCAGGCCATTGTCGTCGATGGCGACGAGGTAGGCTTGTCGCTCTTCACGGGACAAATAGCGGACTCGTTCCCGCTCTAGGACGTCACGGGGGCAGGCTTCGAGGGAGAGGAAACGGCCGGAGCCGTGGTCGAGCCAGTAGAAGAAGTTGTCTTGGGTGTCGGCTTTTTGCCAGGCTTCGTGGTAGACTTTTAGGTTGGAGCCGTAGCGGTGCTTGTGGTCGATCATTTCGAGGAAGTATTGTAGGCCCATGGTACGGGATTCGGCTTTGCGGCGGGCTTTGGATTCGGCGCGGCGTTGCTTGAGGAGCTTTTTTTGGGTTTTGGAGGGTTTGGATTCGGATTCTGAGGAGGAGCTGGAAGAGGAGGACGAGGATGATGAGGAGGAAGAGCTGTCATCTGCGTCTCCTCCGGCTCTGCGGGCTATGGTGGAGGCTTTCTTCCAGTTGAGGCGGGCGGTGGGGGAACGAGTCCCGGCGAGCATGATACTGCTGCTTGCATCGCTGTTGTTATCTCCTGGTGATAACGAGGGGGAGGTGAAACTGGGAGAGTAGAGACTGTCGGTGTCGAGGTATTCACTTCGCGGCCGAGGCCGGGTGAGGGCTCGCCATTGGGCTTCTCTTACGGCATGTATCCAGCGGGTTGAGGCGTCTATTCCCAAGCCAGCCAGCGTCCGGCGAGCTCGGTAGCCGCGGTAGGTCCGTTGGATAACGGTGGCAGCTTTGGTAACACTCCCATTCTCACTGATGGTGCTGCCTCTGCGGCTGTGAGCGAGTTCGAGACTTTGTTGGCGCTGGTTTCGGCGAAACTGCTTCTTTTGCTCGGCTTCACGTTCGATTTGGATTCGGTTTATTTGATCAAACTCTTCTTTGGAAGGAACAGAGAGAGAGTCCAAATAGTTTCTGTGAGCTGACAAGACAGATGCGATAGAGTCTGTCTTGGAGAGTCGAGGTCGGTGCGTGTGTGTCAACGAGGGAGGTCTGGACCTGGAGGTCACATCTGGTGGGGCGCTGGCAACAGATATCGACGATGACGTCCCCGTTTCTGCTGTGTCTACGTCCATCGTGAGGGGTTGTTCGTCCGTCTCTCACAGTCTCAAGGGGCCTGTCGAAAGTAAAAACAGAGAGTGTCATCAGACAAAGCTGAAGCTGTCGTCAAAAACGTAGCCATGCTGACGAAGGATTCGACTATTATACCCTGCCTGCTCACTGCTTGCTGATTATCAAAAAATGAACATATCGGGAGCTCGGCACTGGCTTGATTCCTGCCAAGGCGCAGTTCGCAGCACCAAAACGGTTGGCAGCGGGAAGTGGGAGAGCTGAGCAGGAGCTGAGAGCACTGCAGGTGAAAATCCCAGCGGCATTCGGGCTTAGTTTGTGGCTCATCTCTTGTTTCTCTTGCGCCTACGTGTTTTGTTAGTCTCGCTATTTCCAGATGGAGAATCAGCCTTACATCACCCGGAGTGTTTAATTGGGATCACAGTCCCTATCAACATCACGAAGCTATCGTCGTCGTCCATCTACCGGAAACGATGGGCGCTTATTGGCGTTTGGGGCCCGCAAGACGCCAGATGTTAGTGGAATCTTGGCCTGCGTTAGCGTCCGCTGACGGCAGAACGGCACCGGAGTTTCCCCGAGGCCTCCATCGAAAACCATCACCAATTATCGCGATTAACCAAGACAACACAAGACTTCATACCGAGAGCCAAACAGGAATCTATATCGTCTATCAAACACTTAATCGCCAACACACGGAAAAACTGACGTGTTCAGCTTTCACTCCTGCCCGTCCGCAAACCTCGAAACAGCCTCCCAATCCTCCACCAGCCTCAGCGTACTCTCACACTTGTTTCTCACGACATCTAAACAATCCGATCCCAACACCAATCTCACTGGAATTTCCTTTCCTTCTGCCATTCCAGTTCCAGTCAACACATCAACCATAGCAATTGCGCACCTTCCCACATCTCCCGGCTGCTGTCCATTATACGCATTCAGCCCCTCCCTAAATCCCAACCCATCATATCTCTCCAGCACCCTCTCAGCTTTGACCCGATGGCCACCCCCTTCTGTCAAGAATCCCGTCCTCGTGTACCCAGGCTCGACACAACAAACCCTAATCCCAAACGGCTTCAACTCATCAGCCAACCCTTCAGTCAGCCCTGAAACCGCCCATTTAGTGCTACAGTCTGTTTATTGTCAGTCTCTTTCCCCAATTAACCATGCACGTTCGAAGAAACTCACAAATTGCAACGCCCCCACCCCCCATCCAACTCCCCAAACTCCCCATGTTCACCAACACCCCCTCGTCTCCCTCAACTTCCCTACCACCGCCCTAGCAACATTCACACTCCCCAAAACATTTGTCTCAAAAACCTTCCTCACTTCCTCCTGCGTCGTCTCTTCCACCGCTCCCTCGAGGATATACCCCGCGCAGTTCACCACATGTGTGATTTTGCCGCCAGGTACCAAACTAGCTGCTTCTGCGATGATGCCCGAGAGGACATCCTCAGGCGATGTCACATCTAAGGCCAAAGTGATGGCCCCAAGAGACGAGAGAGAGATCATTCCTGGGGAGGAAACTGAGCGGGATGTGGCGATGACGGTGTGAGAGCGGGAGAGCGCTTCGCGGGCCAGAGCGAGACCGAAACCAGAAGAGGCGCCGGTTATGAGCCAGACTGGGGTGGAGGGTGAAGCAGCGGTGGTGGTGGACATGATGAACGGGTTGTGATAATTTCACGTAAAAATGAGGCGGTAAGTGTTGTCTTTGCTGAGGATGACTATTCTTGTGAACAGTGGGTGAAATGCAATGTGCTTGGTATTGTAAGTTGAATGAGTCTGTAAGTTGTTGAAAACCTTGATGCTCTTCAAAATGGCACCTATCCATCGTTGTGTTTGGCTAGGACTTTATATACAAAACCAGTCCCCGCAGCTCACAACTGTTCAGCCATGTCGGAGCTACCTATCACCAGATGGAGACAGGATTTAGGCGTTTTGATACCTCCATCGTACCAAAATACCAAACTCACGATAGTTTCTTTCCACAGACATCACATCCTACAGTGTCTTGGTGGAGAAATGCTAACACCGATCTCCCACCCAAAGCCGAACTGGGGCGTCAATAACGATGTCGTATTGACCCATCGGCGATAAGCCCTCAATCCTACCAGACCGCAATACCACCGTCCCACCTATCACCGATTAAAGCCCGAGATGCGTAATCAGAACCTGTGCGTATTCTCGTCTAGACATACGTTCTTAATCCCACATCACGGACAATGCGGCCGATGTCAAGAAGCTGCAGGATTAAGTTTGTCCTTGGTCAACTCATTGATGGCACATCCGTACCAAAAGAAATAGCCCCTTTTAACTGGAAAAGGGGCCATCAGGGCCAAATGCATGTGGAGACGAGCAAAAATCGATCCGCCCAGGGGTCGAACCTGGAACCTCCTGATAATCCCGATAATGAGAATCGTAGTCAGACGCGCTGCCATTACGCCAGCGGACCTTGTAATTGACTGTTGAAGAGCTATGTCGGATCTAGGACCCATATGGCAGAAAGCTATCCCCTTTTTTTCTCAACCCATACCTCTCAACAACCACAGCACGTTTTTCATCTTCTTTAACCTTACGAGGAAAGAAAAGAACTTCGAACTCGCAAATTACCTTTCCCACAATTTCTTCAAAGCATCTTAAAAATCTTTACGTATCGGATCTTTCAATAGATTGACAGGTGTTGTCCCACTGCAATTTTTGACAGCCATTCGATTACTTTTCCGATGGCTTGCATCGCCTTTCTGGCGCTCTCATGGGATTTCAAGACACCATTGGCTAGTCGGACAACACACATCTACACTAAGTATGAGGCTGCAATGGAAATGTTTCCAGCCTTCGGAGAGGGATCTGTTCATTCTTATCAGCCTTCAATAATTTCAGGTGTTTATATCCTTCGCTTTCTGTTGATCGGCGCCATGTGATCTCAAACAGCCTTACCTTCTGCAAGGTGTTTATCTTGGATGGTCCAAGTGCAGCATCAAGATGCGCCTCCTCTTGTCCTCTCTGCTGTTGATACCAGCCGGTCTTGCGACTGCCTTCACTTTCCCAGCCAGTGACCACACACGGCTCCAAAGAAGACAAGACCAGCAACCTCTCCAAGCATGCACCGACCTCACCATCGCCTCCAACAACGGCGACCGCAAAGTCGCCATCGTCGTTGACTCCTCCGGCTCCATGTCCGGTGCCGACCCTGATGACCTCCGTTTAGCAGCCGCCAAAGCCCTCAATGACTTCCTCGTCTCCAACTCTGAGGGTGGAGGTGAAAAGAAGCCCGACCAAGTCGCCATCATCGGGTTTGATTCCACCCCTTATGATGTCTTCGGCCCAGGTGACCCAGGCGATCCAGCTGCTGCGGCTGGGATAGCGAACATCACTTTGGGAGGGGGGACGTATATAGCCGGGGGCGTCTACCAGGCTATGGATCACTTGGCAGCTATGGGAGGGGAGACGAGAGGGAGAAGTGCGATTGTGGTTTTTACTGATGGATCTGTAAGTCTCAGTTACTATCCCTTACATAGTGTTGAGAACTGATGATAATGACAGGATTCGGACACAGAAGAACTAGTCTCCGCCATCAATAACGCCACCAGTCAAGGTATTCGCGTCTCCTTCGGCTACCTCGATGACAGAGCCTCCGCCCAACCTCAGACTGTGCTTCGAGCCCTCCGTGACAGCAAGGGTGTCTACGCTACCATCACAATCGCGGCGGGATCGCAGAATTTCATCAATTACGTCCTCCTCAACGGGTTGACCGCCCAAGACAACGCTCAGGGAGCAGGAGACAGGTTACTTGCTGGACTGGCTACCACGCAGTTTGTTAGCGGATCATCGCCTGTGTCGCTGAAATACACGGCTGAGCAAGGGGAGAATGCCAACTTCACAGTTGTGAGTTTTACAGGGGATAGGTTGACTGTCGAAGCCAGAGCCGGTGGGCAGACCTTCCAACCAGAAACTAAGCTTGCTACAACGAGGCAGTTTCTCAATTTAACCGTACCGAGTACCGGGGAGGTGGAGGTGTTGGTTACGGCGACGAATGCACCGGTGGATGGGCTGTTTTCGGTGTTGACGAATTCGAATCAGCCGATTAAGAACTGTACTGTGGGCGTTACTGGTGATGCCAAATCTGGTGGTCTCTCGACGGGTGCTAAAGCTGGGGTGGGAGTGGGGGTTATAGCCGCTGTTGCTGGGTTGGCAGCTGCTGGATTTTATGCTTATAAGCACTTCTTTGCCACGGGGGCGGGAGCAGCAGCGGCAGCCCCGGCGATCAGCGGTCCCAGCCTTTCGGGTGCTGAAGGGAACGTTGGGGGGCAGGGTGGTGAGAAGGTACAAGGATATTCAAGTGTGTCGCCTGTCCAAGGTCATATAGGGGGCGGAGGACCGGGACCAACATATGGCGTGCCACCGACAGATGGTATCACTCCATTGCCACCAACAGGATACGAGGGAAACACCACAGCGCACAACTTAAGTCCCGGAGGACCACCAGCCTCTGATATACCTCCCCACGGCTCACCTCCTCCAGCACCTCCTCAACCATCAACGCTACCCCTTACAGGCAACAGCAGCGCCTTCATCCCACCCCTCGTCCCACCCCTAATGAAACCCTCCTCCCACTCTCACCAACCCAGTCGCCCAGGCTCTCAACACAGCAGTTCCTTCCAACCCTCCTCTCCTTCCCCAATCACCCCCGGCGAGTCCTACCCCCCACCACCTCCCCTGTCAGAACAATACCAGCAGCCTCTATCTCACGACCACCATGTCTATCAACACCCTATCAACCCATCTGACACTCCCTACAACCACCACCCTTACCACAACAACACCTCCATCTCCTTTGACCCACCGCACAGCCATTACGGTGAACCCCCTACCAACCCTTCTGACTCCAACAACAATCACAACCCCCAAAACCCCCACAAGCCAACCTTCCCCGTCCCCGGCCCGCCAAGTGGCTGGAAGCAAAAGAATAATGAAGAGGAAAAACACCACCACCATCCCTGGCTGGCACCAGACATGGCTTGTGAACATCCCGACTGCCCTTTAAATCTAGCAAGTCATCGATGTGAGACTTCTGATAGGGGCTATTGTGAGTGTAGATGTCTGGAGGGGGAGGGGTGTGCTTATTTGAAGAGGTTGTTGAAGGAGTGTTGATGAAGACGTTGAGGGAGGGTTGATGAAGGGGCTTAATGATTTGAGTGGGTGGGTGACATGCCATAGGACAAAAGAATAGGGACTGCTACATAACCATACCTAGCACATGCTAAATATACCCTGGCAGTTCTCCGATTGTATATATGAAGAGTGTATCAAAAGGCAGTTGCTATGCTTCCAACGGACAACAAGCATCTGTTTCGGCCCCGAGAAAACAGTCTGTTCCAAGCAAGTTCATTCCCCTCAAAAACTCGCATCTATTATTATCAAGAAAACTACCCATCAACCTCCATCACCTCCTCCCCACCCCCCTCCTCATCCTCCCCACTCTCCGTCTCCTCATCATCCCTCTCCGCATAAGGCACAAACCTAAAGTCCAAAAAGCAAACCCCGCCCCCTTCCCCTCCCACCTCCACCAAAAACTGCATGCTCAGCACCCCCTGCCCATCCCCCCTCAAGCTAACCTTCGTCGCGATCCTCATGGCCTCACTCGCCGCCTTGACCATGTCAAACTTGAAGCTCTGGCTCCACTTCTTTTTTCTCACCGTAAACGTCTCAAGTAGATCCTTGCCCTGAGCAAAATCGATCCCTCCACTGCCCAACGCACCCCCCGAGCTTGTTAGCTTCAGATACGGCGCTGCCTTACTAGCTGTGATTGTCAATTTCTCCGGTGAGGCTGGTGCCAGTTCAGCCAAGGCATCTAGTAGCCACCTGGCTTGAGTGATGATTTTGAATCCCAAATCTTCAATATCAAAGGGAATGTCCTCGGGGATTTCGGGCACGTAGGTTGTCAAGTTGCAGGTGGTTTTCACGCCGCCTTCTTCGAGGATAATGCTGAAGGGGTCACCCTCGGAGTTGTAAGAGAGTGAACAGGTCCCGTTGCTCATGCCGAGGGTGTGGTTGGAGAAGGCGTCGGCGCGATAGTTGCGGAGGTTGGTGCTGCGGTAGGGGTCGACGTCTGATCTGGCTTGGCGGGCGGCAGCGTCGGCGGCGCCAAAGATTTGGAGGGTTTCCAAGAGGGCAGGGAGGGAAAGTTGGAAGGTTACTGAGGGGGGAGGAGGATCTTCGTCGTCGTCGGGGTCATTGTTGGATTCGTCGGGGGTGGGGACATTCGTGGTGTAGGAGGTGAAGAGAGATTTGTTCCAATGGGCAACGCCTTGCATGACGCGGGCGTGGTCGGTCGAGAAGCGAACTCCCTCGGCGGTGATCTCGACGTGAACCTTGTTGGTAAAATTGATCGCTTTGAGGAGCTGGTAGAGGAGCCTGGTCGAGCTGGCGACGGCTCGGAAAATGGGAGGGTCATGTGCATCCATCTTGTACAGTGGTGGGTTGTTCTCGTCTGGTGGGAGTGGAAACAGAAAAGGTCAAGAAATCGAATTGCTTTTTTGTACGAAGAAAATGAATTATGGTACAGATTTCGAGGGTATCTTAGACGTAGACTCCGACTGCACAGAACATGTAAACCACGCCAACCCTATGTCAAATGTCAGAGTGGTGTTGAAGATCTGGGTCGGGGAAGGAAACGTACGCAAGCGACAAGGAAGCAGGGACAGCCAAAGTTGGGAGGCTGACAAGAGACCGGTCTGTCACGATTCAGCTGTCAGTGGGATGTTGGGGAAGAGGTGTAAGTGTAGGCATACTCAGAGCGAACGCGCCACTGAGGCCAAAGCCCAGGACCAGCAGAACGAAAGCGACGAGGAATTGGTTCTCCTTGCCGATGGTGGGGACGAACGGCGAGCCGGACGCAGCCTGCCAGACCTCGTGCAGTGAAGAATCCATGTGCTGTGATATTGTTGAAAACCAGAGTTTTCGCTGAGAATTAGGCAGCAAGATGTTTGCAATTGGCTTGAAATCTGGCGGCAGACAAATGAAGGACGCAGAGTTGGTGATTGCCTGTCGGTGCCAGTAACTTGGGACAGCTTCAGTGGACGTGAAGCTGAAGCTCGAGAACAGGAACGTGTTCGAACCCGAAAGAGGACTAGCGTCTCTCTCTACAGGCAGCGGTCCCTTGTCGATGGGGCAGCCCTGCAGCCGCAGCCGGGGCCAAGCGCCATGGCAAATGGCAGCCTCGAGAGCAGAGATCCACTTCTCTCAGCATCATCATCGGCCATTATCAATCGGCAACGCGACAACTTCCATCAATCCCCGGCGCATGCCATCGAAATGAAGGGCGAGATAAGCTTCACAGCTTGAGCCGTCACACGTATACAGTCCTCGCGCGCTTTCATCCGAAATCGCCGCGTGCAACATGGCTAAGGACACGAAGCGCAAAGCGACCGACGAGCCGACCTCTCCCACGGC